GCTTAAAACCTACAATCTCTTTTATTTCTATCAACAAACATTACGCTATCGACATTGCTGATCCTAGCAGTATGCAGGACGCGTGTCATATGAACTTCGTAAAAGACCTCGCTCACTGTGGAGTCTCTGTGGCTTAGTAGTAGAGCATCGCAGCGCGGAATCCGAAGGTCTGAGACTCGATTCCTCATGGCCGGGACTCAGAATTTTTTCTTTGTCCCACGCTCGTGACAAGACGAAAAAATACCTCTCTCTAAACTTACAGAAGTTTGCACATCCTCTCATGTCTCTCATAGTCTAAGTATCCGAAGATCCGAGGTCGCCTATAAAATATCGGATATAATCAATGTAGAATATAATTCCCTGAAAGAACCATTTCGTCGATCGTTGTTCTCTCTTTGGCGTTTTCTTTCATCGTGTTCAGAAACCTTTTTTTTAACTTGAATAAAAGCCGAATTCTGATCTAAAATATGTTATTTTTAGAAAGGGCCACGGCTACGTCTCTGCCGCTGTTTTTTTCTCACATATTTTGTGTAATAATAATAATAATAATAATAATAATAATAATAATAACACCGCGGTGTTTGGTTTCGCGAGGAACCGTTGACATAATAAATTATACGGAATAGTTTGGGAAACCAAGTATGGTCGATTTACAACGCTAAATATTCTGAAATGTGAACATTTTACACTCCTTGCGTGTCCGTTGCGGTTTATGGTGATTTCTGCCATGAGACGGCTAGGAAATGTACAAGGTTTTCAAACATAGGTGTTTAGCTTTTAAACTTTTTGCCATGAATGCGACCCCGGGTAGGCGGGTTACCCCACCTTGAGACGTTGTAAGGATACACAAGGCAAATTGTCACCCCGGCTGACAGGGTTACCCTACCTGGCAGACCGGGCCCTAACCCTAACCCTAAGGCGGGTCACCCCACCTATCATGCAAACGTGATCAAAATAAAATAAGAAATTATATGGACAGGCGGGTTACCTCACCCACATGAGGTCCCCCACCTCCATGTAAACAGGCCCTCAGTTTCCGCGATGAAACGGCAGCAAACAATGCTGTCGTTCCTGTCCAGTAACAAGAGGTCACGAAGAGTAGCTGGTAAGCTTTACAAGAATGTTAGGGGTAAACAAAACAAAGGTTACGTACTAGCGATGGAAAAGCAGCCAATTGTCAGAAATAACCGCTTTGACAGCTCTATAATTACCGGCTGTATAAAGAACACGTGGGGACAAAGCTAGTCTTCATCGTGAAATTCTACTTGAAATGTGTTTCAGAAAACGGTTTGAAAGAAGCCTTGAAAATAAAAAATCTTTCCACAGCGTAAAAGTTCTGAATTTGAGACGATCAGAACACGCATTCAGCTATTCGATGTGGTACGATTTCATAGCGATGCGATTCGTAGCTGATACCGCTGATTTTCCAGCGATATGCCGTGTAAGTGACGCCAAAGATATCACCGAAGGGAGACCAGTTTACGTTATAAGCAGTTTGGAAAGGGCATAGTCAAATATAATGTATATAAACAAAAGTTTACTTTGTTTTGTTCAACCTCCTAACCTAAAGGTGTGTCGTTCACATTATGAGTTTTTCGATGGGGAATTTTTGATGGGCGCGATGTACTGTATGCTTTAAGAAATGACAAAGTTAAGGATGAGCAGCCGCCTGAAGCTGCAAATGTGCTTTACTGGTTTGAAAAGGTCCCTTACCTGTTGTGCTGAAAACTAGGGAGAACCCTGACGCCATTTCTTGGATTTAAGGAATTTTCGGTGAGTCAAAAAAAAATTCTTGACAAAACAATTCGTATGGCCTTTCGTAAAGACGGCTCAACTAACCTCCTTTTCCTATAATTGTGTAAATTAACCTTACAGAGGTTTAGCAAGTAAATGATGATGGTCGAGCTACAAAGCAATTTTAAATTGAGAGTCGAAAAACATGAGATTACTCTTGGTTCTTCTTTACTTCGCTCTGTGATTGGTCAAGAACACTCGTGCTATCCTCTCAACCAATCAGATGCAAAACTAACATCAATCTCAACTTAGTGACTAGCGTTTTCCCGCTCTTCAGGCAGTTTACTTGTTTTTGCCCCGAGCACTCATTGGCTCCTCTTTGCGATAGTTTCTTTGATTCTGATTTGTAGTTCTTCTTGCTTTGGTTTTTGATATACGACACTCAATTGAAAAGCCTTCAAATCAAGTCAGGGATTACTGTTCAGACATAAAAACACATTCCGAGGAATACTCGACAAAGAATGCATGGTTCAGTCAAGAAAATTAATATTCAGATCTTGACTGGGGTGAAAAGATCAATGTGTTCGTGATGATTGTTGCCTAGCTGCAGCCCAGTGTCCTCTGATCATAAAATCATTCACCAAGACTGTCTAAGTTCTAAATGCTATCTTCCCTCCAAAGGATCCAGTTTAGGTGACGGTCGTCGCGGACCTAAGTGTCTTTGAAGGTGAATTTGGCTATGGTCCATTATACTGTGGAATAATAAAAACTCTAAACATTAGGACGGACTTAGAGTTGGTCTTAGAGGTCGGAGCTCCACTTTTATTCTGGATTTCATAACGTATGGTTTAATACGTAAATGTTTAAGAGTTGATAGCAGTTAGAGAGGTAATGGTCTCATCACAAGACTCGGCCCTTTCTTTTCTTAACTCTTTTCATAACTTGATATCTCGTCATGTTGGCCCAACTCTCTCCTCAGCCTACTGCTGGCTTCCTGAAAGAATCAATTACAACTAAAAATAAACTTAAGGCCGCTGTACAGTGCAGCTTATTAAAGCGAGGCTTCTTGACTTACCTGTCCCATAAGTTGTGCGCACGAGCAAAACTCGCCATACGCGATTAGAATTTTCAACCTCGAAAGTGATCTAAAAAAGCGCTAGAGAAATATCACCTTGAGAATAAATGAAGGCCTACATTCGGGGACTTCCTCTCTTAACCTGATCGCCCATTGATAATTTAAAAATTTATCGCAACCTAGAAGCACACAAGCCTTCTAGAATAAATAAGTGGTTGAAATGAAAACAACGTTTTCGCTAGGCTGGACTTGTGCAAACAACGATTTGAAATTATCAACTCATCTTACTAGAAACAAGACGGTTCCTAGTGCTCAAAACCTAGTCACCTCTAAACGTTTGCAATTCTCACGCACATGCGGGAGATCAGCTGCCATCTTTCTCATTGCTGTTCTGTAGCGATCCACCTCCTGCAAATCCCACAAGAAGTACACGATAAAGCTATCCGCAACATGTCTAAATGCTAATGATATTCTCTCCACGTATTTTACAGACAGATCTTGATTCTTTTCTGTGAATTAATTCTTTGCAAAACATTCCATACTATCCTTAAAACTGATGGAACCTCAGCACAAATCTTTTTACTGACAAAAGCAACGACTGAAGGGAGAATTCGAACCCTTCTGACGTGCTTCGATATCAGCGTTAAAACTGGAAAGCCATTGCTACAGCATTTTAAACTAAACAGTACAGACCAACCTCTTAAACAAGCGTCAGGGAAAGAACTCGAAACTTCCGCCTGCCCTAGTCATCTAAAAAACACATGTGCTTTAATTCCTTAACAATACTATATATCGAAATACTAGAAATTTAATTAATGGGTGGAGGATTGAAGCATGAAATAGGTTTTAACTATTGGTTGAGACATAACAAAGAAAAAAAAAAACAACAACTTATAGTAGTATGTTTATTTGAAAGATTATATTTTCCTACGGAATCACAGGATTACTACTTAATGCACGTCTTATTGTGGTTATACACGTCTGTACGCTGCGACAGATCTTTCACAATTGCCTCATACCGTTGAGGATCGCACTTTTTCCCATCTAGTAGGGCGTATTCCCATAGATGTTGTCCAAAATACCCCTAGAGTGTCAACTATAGTGTGTTGGTCTGAAAAACGACATATATAACTAAGGATTAAGAATGCTATAACCTTCAAATGCTAGATAACATATTTTTCCAACCTTACAAGCGTGAGTCACCAAGTATTTGTTTCAAATTTACGCATCAAAGTGGCCGTGTTCTGTTATCCTATTTGATGGGCGTCGACACACTTGATTTTTGAGATAACAACAGGTCTGAGCTTTAAACTCATGAATTTGTTCGAGTTCTTGCTCGTTAAACAATTAAGAGCAACATAGTTTCACAGTAAGGCAGATGGAGGTTCGAACATATCACCGTAAAGTTCTCGTGGTAAAACAATTCCTAATATCCTCGGAGCGCTTTTCGTTTGGGTGTCTAATCATAACCGTCGATCGATGTAGAAAACAATATCTAAAGAAACCATCGTAAACTCGAAGGAAAAAAAAATAAGGATAAAAAAACGGAAACTACTTGAAGGAAAACTACCAGACGGAAAACTTCAGTGACTAAGTCGCGACTGTTTTTGGTTTGCATCTTAATGATTGAAATTAATTGCCGTGAGTTCTCTAAGCCAATCACAAAGCACGTTGAAGGATAACTCCCAGATAACTCTCGACACTTATCTGAAAATTGCTCCACTACTCGAACATTATACCACATCTTCGTGTCTCTGAGTCACAATTCTCCACACAGATGTGACGGATCCCCACGCAACAAGATTAGTTCGTGTGCGTGGAGAAAAGCTTTTTATCCCAAAATGATAAAGTTGCATTGCTTTATCGTCAAAAAAAAAAATATACGGGAAATGAAAACAAATATAATATCAATTTAATGTTTATGAGTAACATACTTTCTTCTAAATTGTTGGTTCGGGTCTCTGGGTGAAACCACTGACTATTAAACTTCGGTATTGCACTACGAGGAAATTTATATCAAAACTAAAATATGTACATCTAAATCTGAGGATCCTACAAAGACCAATTTGGGTAAAAGTTTTCCTGGCTAATATAATGAAATAAAACTTTTAAAAAGACGTTATGGAGATTCCTAGGCGTGGGAAATTCTGTCAGGGTCCCGGTTTAAAAACACACTTCAGACATTTTCCATGTGCACGCAAAAAACACCTTTTTTATTCGTTACAGTCCCCACACGGGGGTAGCGCCTGGCGCTTACAAACAAACAAACAAACGATCGCGTGTCCACGTTAATTGTCTAGTTTCTTCAGAAGTAAAAACTTCAGAGTTGAATCACCATAGTGTTTGCTTCTCACGGTGTCTTGACAGGTTTACTGTCGATGTTCTGAGGTTCTACGCTGAAAAGTATAAGAGTTATTAAAGGCTTAAATCTACAATTTTAGAGAGAGTAAGATGATTTTCTTGTAGTAGTAGAAATATTGGTGAAGAGATAAAGGAATAGCCGGTAGGAAAGAGGGAAAGAAAAAGGGAGAAAGATAGGGAGACATGAGTGAAGGAAAGAAGGAAGGAGAAAGAGTTAGGCATGAATAGATGAGCATACAGATTTATGAATAAGTAAATAAATGAATGAATAAATAAAAGACAAATCGATAACTCAATAAACGAATGACGAATAAATGGACAATAAAAGAGAAAAACAAATAAAAAGCAGACTCAAAAAAAACTGCTTCAATTGTCAAAGGTTTGAATAAAGTAAGGTAGGAAAGGAAAAAAGGGAAGCTGCCTACCAAAAAACTTTTCTCCTCATCTCCCTTACAAGAATCTCGCATTGTTCTGCCCACTTGTACTTCTGTCTATAAGATTCCCGCACTCGTTGCATCTCTTTTAGCCGCTTTTTTCTCTCCTTTTGACAGACCTTCTTGATCGCCTTTGACCAGTCTTCGGGATTATCTGAGTTAACTACACAAAGTTCTCCAAATTCTACCTTCTGCAACGCTTTTGAAAAGCCTGAGTTATGGCCAGCAAGGACAGGCAAACCAGCGGATAAGGCTTCCAGAGCAGAGAGTCCAAATCCCTTTGTTCTTGAAGGCATGATAACCAGATCCATACGAAGAAGCAGTTCTTTCAATCGATTTTTATCCTCGATGTTTTCTTCGACAGACAGCTGGTTTTTAGAGACGCCATGTTGAAGAATCTTCGCTCCAAATGCGTCTTGTTTTTCTGGGGCCGCTCCAACGAATGTAAGATGATAGGAGTCGTTTTTCAGCTCATGACTTGCAAATGCCCCAGCGGCAATATCGTAGCCTTTTAGCTCGAAGTCTTCGTCATCACCACGCCCAAACATCAGGACCTGAAACTCGTCATTCTCGTTTAGCGACTGCTTCACATTAGTTAAATCTCTCACAATTCCCGGTGTAAATTCCACAACATCCTGATCTTTGTTGAAAGAGCGTAGCTGATTGGAGTAGAAACCTTTCAATTTAGGCCCAACTGCCATGACCAGGTCAGCTAATTTGCATAGACTAACCTCAAACTTGTTCTTTACTCCACTCTGTGTGACAGCATTCGGATAGTCCTTGCACATACTCAGTTCATCCGGAGCAGTGTGTACTACTTGAAGCCACTTGCAGTTATGAGATTGTCTAATCTTCTGAGCTTGTTGACCAAGCTTCAAGCCATGACCAATTACTACATCAATTCCAAGGTCTTTCGGTGGAAAAAACAATTCTACGAAGGAACTGCACGCGATGAGTTCCTCTGCCTCAATAATAGTGATAAAATTTTTCGCAGCTGCTGCTTTTTCTTCCTCTCTACATGCACCATGAGGAACAAGGACAGTGACTGCAGTGTCGGAACGGCTTGCTAAATGAATGGCGAGTTCTCTGTTAAACGTCGATAATCCACTTTTTAGTGAATTCCACTCGTCTGCTAAGATTGTAACATTCAAAACTTCTTTTGAGGAAATACTTGAAACTGTTTCTTCAAGTGCTTTCGGTGAGGGGAAAGATGTGCCAAATTCAAGCGCAACCTGAAATAACATAACAGGGTTCTGGAAACGTGCGATAAATTATATCAACTAAAACCCCACCTTAAAGTTCCCTACTGAATCTATCAGGGTGTGCATTCGTTGACCAATCACACAAACCGGACCTAAAACAATCGACTAACAACAACCCATCACGGAACCGTCTGATTATGACTTTTGCTGATTTTGTCAAAACGCCAGTCACTACTACCAACAACAGTCTCCAGGGTCGTCAGGACTACACACACCCGGACGATCAGACTACATGACCAGTTTTAACGAACTGATACCTTTAAACGAAGACTGGAAAGCGCTAATAAAAACTAGTAAACTTGTGGGAGGCTTTTTTCAGCTCGCGACTTCATCAAAATCAAATGATCAATTATTATCATTTTTTTTTCCTGATGGCGACACATCTGATAGAATATGATATTGAACATTAGCTGAGGGAAATGTAAAGAACACGGGACTTTGAATAAATCTTTTTGTTTGATCCACTAGTAAGTTTAAGATCCGGAAAGATAAGGACATATTTCATTGAAAACTGTGGATATCTAAAGGGTCGGTTGAAATTGCTAGTTTTCTGTAGCTATTTTCTTTAACATTTTAGAACCTTGCCTTTTTCACCTGATCTTCCTTTTGCTCAGGCATGGCTACCAGTGCTGTAGAAGGAAAGTACCTGGGAGAAGACGTCTGCAACAGAGAAACTTAATTTCTTAGAAAAAATATCTTGTCCGACATTTCTATCTATCAATTCTCTAGCCTCGTCACTGGAAAATTGTTGTCAATTGGTCCATTTGACTCTATAAGGATATACACTATGCCCTGTGCCTTTACCGAGCTAGAGTCCCTCAAAGCCGAGGAGACTCTAGAGCAAATGTCATGGGATGGTCGTCGGTCATTTGAAAAGGAAAGTTCTTACATTAGCAGCCATTCACACTGGTGATTTTTGCTGCGGCTTTGAGAGCGATTTCTGTTACGATTTATTACCGTGATCTCACGGGAACGTGAAATCGCCCTTGTGGTAGCGGTTATCGCACGTTTCCTCATTTTATTTTCACTAACAATATGCACATGTCAGGCTGCAGCTAACGGTCTGACTAGATATCCCAGAAAAAGAGTAGTTTAGCTCTACCAGTGGCAATTTGAGTTTACCTTAACCTCACCAGTACCAAATAGATGCAACGATATAAGATGGTGATAAAATAGAAAAAGAAGTGCAGCGAAGGAGTTATTTGAAAGGGCTAACTTAATTTTCTGTGAAGCTTCCTTGTCACGCACTTAGCACACGACCGTAAAACGTTCGGATAGATGGTATCTTTAGGGCGGGTGAATCCTAAGATTTACTCAGCCGAAGGGTTAGAGCTTCAAAAATTAAGTTTCTAAAACAGCTCCTAATCAAAATTTCCTCCCCTAGTCCAATATTTTCAACTTCACATAGTACATACCTGGTCTGGAACGGTCGGTACGAAACACAGCGTGCATAATATTTCCCTATATGATTGATTCCCCATGTACAACTCTACTTGCAGGTTTCTGAGGTCAATAACGGATACAGGCAAACTTCGTTTAAAAGGTTCCGTTCCGAGAAACCTGGCACAAACAAATTAAACGAAGATATAAATACTAGGTATTCCTTTTTGTCCCGGCAAAGGATATGTTTCTCCTCACGCATCTGCTCCAAGTTGTCGGAAACGATGGAAATAGGATAAGCAAAAATTGATAAACTCACGTCAAGAAGTTGTCTAGATTTCTCTCTTTCACCCCAGTAAACGCTTTGGAAAGAGACACAGATATCCGATCAGCTTTACACAGTGGCTTCTGCGAGTTTCCTACCCCTTGAGTACAAACTGGAGATAGAGTATACACTTGTTCTTTAAGATGGAGTGGAAAGCAGCAAAGAGTCAGCATATAGTTAGGAGGATTTCCTCTAGCATGTAAACGAGCACAAAGTCCTACTTGTTGTAACATCAGTTTTCTATAGAGGTCATCGGCAAGATTCTTTAGGATAGCAAAGGGTCGTTTCGATGGGTCAATCCAAACCCAGTACCTAAAGGAAAACGACACAAACTTAACAACATCTATTCATATAGTCATCAAAGTGAAGAGAGCATTCCCGTTCATTGATCATCAAATCAAAGCGTGCACATCTTAGAACAAGAGAATATAAACAAATAATCTCTTGCGTAGAATCACGGATTAATTGCCAATGCATCGATCAATTCGCAGTTTCAACAACCTCCCTTCCGGACAACCCACGGACATTTTACTGACGTCCGTGCCCGAGAAGGAGGAGAATTCGATCAAAGAGGTCTTTCCATGGGTGGGAAATTTGAACCTTGCCCGGGTGGGATGGGGCATTTGAAACAGAATTACGAATTTGAATCGGAAGTGTCAAGTCCTTCCAGCGGTACACACGAGCTCTTTTTTGAGATGGCAGAGATTAGGAATAGGGAAAAAAAAAAGTCTTCAAACGCTGTGCAAATTGTTGTGAGATTGAGTAGTGTGATTTTTTGGTTCTACAGCTTGAATAGTCAATTCAGTCACCGGTCGATGAGTAGAAAGTGGCAGCGCTGATATTGCCATTTTCACAAAATAGTTGTTCTCCGCAGAACATGCATGAACTGCTACTGAATAGGGAATGAGCCAACGCTGTAAATGTAAAACAATCCCCTCAATAAATATCAAATAAAATTCGTTCGAAGGTATTGTATTCAATGGCTAAACACAACAGTATGATAAAATTTCACATCGTAGAACATGTTAGAATTACGTTTACAACCGAAAGGCCATAAACCATGCCTTTTTTTCTTTCCATTTAAACATTTTTTCTTTAAAAAAGGAGTAATTGACCATAAAATTCCTCGCGGGGAATTGGGGAATTTGGATGCAATTTTGGCCCTTGGGGTGCCGGGAATTTAAACGAACCAATCTTCAAAGGTTCAAAGGACCGGGGGTTGCCTAGAGGGGGGGATGTTGAAGCTTTGAAATGATCGACGTACAAATATTAACCAGTACAAAGAATTAAAGCCAGTACCCAGAATTGTTAAGAACATATTCTCAGCCTAAAGCAAAAAACCAAATTTTTTACTAAGAAACTTTCTCAGATTAAATGCCATTTTCCAGTAAACAGCCTAAATTCTATCACATAATCCTACCCCACTGAGGAAATTTCAAATGGAACTAACTGCTACTGTTGGTCAGTTTTCCACGCAATTCTCACGTGTTGAGACATTTGCTATCAATCAAATTCGCTGACGAAGGAGCGGTAGTAACCAATGCCTTAGCCTGCGAACAGGCCGTTGCTTGGTCTCGTCACGCAACGAGGGAAAGAGTGCAACGGGGGAATGAGGCTACAGGAAGCATGACATCAATGCAGTTTCTTTTTGCCAACAATTATTCAGACAAGAGTAGCAATAGATTATAAAGTGCGTGTGTCTGAGTTTATTTTCGATACATTGGAGGGTTTCTTTGCTCCCCACTGATCGGTATTTTCATTGGATTCTTTTGAAAGTAAAGGCTCTTTTCTTTTACAAAAATGCAAACATCAGTTACTAAGAAGCCTATTTCAACCCACCCCTTGGAAAAAAAAAACATCTTTTGTATGCGCAGCATGCCTACGTTTACGTCACTTAAGGGCGGACAAAACAAATCGCTCTTCCACGAGATCTCGTTGATAAACGAGTCATACCGCGATTTGTGTAATAACTTGAGATCCCTGAAAGGTCGATTAAGGTTTGTAATAAATACCTATAGATGACGAATCGGATTTAGAGTAATAAGTTAGTCGTTTGGTTTCCTTTGTTCTTGTTTTTTGCCTCTTTTCTGTAGTTTTGCGCACCCTGATGTCACCTGATGATGCATGTCTTTTCTACAAAAGATTTACCACGATCCTACCTACGTGAAAGCTTTGAAGTTTATTGCTGCTTTCAAAACAGCCAGAAGAGTATACTTACTCTGAGAAGTGATTTACTGTAAACGTCACAGTCCCATTTTCAAGAACCGCTATATTTTCTAACTGCTCTGTGACTTCATTCCATTCTCTTTTATCCTCTTCAGAGGTTCGGCAAAATATCCTGACGTCAGTGACCGAATAATCCGGACATTTGGGTATGTCTTCTCCGAGTATAACAGGGATTGTGAGCCTAGCAGGTGCTAAAAGCTGAACTGGTTCAGAAGGTGAGATATGAAGAATAGGCCCGGCAACTAGTCGTTCTTTCAATTTAGCATTACCGCAGGGAACCTCTTGCACCTTCAAAGAAAGATGAAGCTGTACTGAGTGGACTAATGAAAACTCAAAAGCACCCCAACTTAATAAAGAGTCGGTAAGGCAAACTAAATTTACAATCACCTCCCACAGAAGTCGCTGACTGAATTATGTGCATCGAAACATCATGCTTATCGAATCATAGGCCGATAAGTCTACCTTCGTGTTCAAAAATCTTGTCTTTAACAGCAAAAGCTTAATGTTAATATGTAAAATATTAGTATATATTCTGGTAGAAGTAATGTACAAGTACCTTTACGGTAAGAGCGAAAGTTTGTCCTGTAGGAAGAGAACTCTCAGGGAATGTTACACTCACTCCTGGATGGTCTGACAGAATGCAAGGAAAGGAAGATGACAAAGTCGAAGGGATTTTAAACATGAAAGACTTGAGACGCCAGACCACCGCAAATGAAGAAAAACTCGTAATTTGTGCCTCTGCAAACGGAAATAACCAGTCTGGAAATTCTTCCACGCCGGAATGCTCATCTTTGATATCTGTAATGAAGCAGATGGTGTTGTTAACTTTCCCGGTGACAATCAAGAAACCCTATATTTCAATCACATATCTTTGATGATTCAGCTTCAGTTCTTTAAATTTGTTTCTGGCAAGCACGGTTGTCATATCAGAGAAGTAAAACAAATGAAGTGGTAGCTGAACAATCACACAAGTTAAAAATGTACATTAAAACGACCAAATTCAATCACAAACTAAGTTTACAAGAAAGAAATACAAAGCCTGTGTAGCTTTTTATACAGTCAAAATTGTTTGTGGTTTCGTGCAAGGAAAGAGGTCAAGTTGTCTGAGGAAGGATGGCTGTACCCTGTAAATTACCAACAAAGCCTCTACCTGATGGTGTCCAAGCCCATCTAGTTTCCAAGTCCCTCCAATCATTGGTCTTCTCATTGATCAATTCTTTGATCACCAATTCGTATCCTTTAAAGTCACTAGCACTGTGGGATAAAGCCAACTTCACTTTCACATTGAATTCGTAACGTTTCCCTGTACCAGGAAGGCTTCCACGGCCTAGTTCCATCACACTGCTCACTAAGGCCTCATTTCTTCCAAGGGGTAATGATAGAGTCTGCAGATCCCGTAAAGAACATGTGACCTCTGTACATGTTGGCAGAGCTTTAGGAGGGATCATTACACGCGCTGGAACGTTTTGGACCATTAGTACCCCTCCGTCCTCGGTAATCTTGCTTCTGTAAAATGAGAGATGTGAAATCAAATAAAAAAAGAAGGGGAACAAGGAAGGGTGTTTCACTGAACATTCTTTTTATTATAATTAATAATGGTACTAGGACCGAGTGGAGTCCAATTCGGTCTTTAATCATGCGAATGATTAACAAAATTGGACGACCGCGAAGCAGGAGCCCGATTTGTTTATCACAAGTATGATTACAGACAGAATTGGACGAAAAGAAATCCTGTTACCAATTAATCCTGACCATTTCAATTTACAAAAAAACAAATACACCTAGAACAAATATCTTCAGTGGAGACAATGTCTTCAGTTAAAAATTTCTCCAGTTTGGAAATTGCCTTGATTTTCTTTAGATAGGTGGTTGTTGTTATGGTTACTGTGATTAATTCTATGATTGGTGGATTTAGCTGAGTGGACCTAGTATAATTGGCTGCTTCAACTGTCCGATTACAGCCAACTGTCCGATTACAACTGTACAAAGTGATTTGTGATATATAAAGCAGCTGATGCACCAATCACATTTGAGGGAATTGTAATGGTTATGATTAATTTTTAAATTTAAGGCACGCTATTTCTTTTTACTATTCCAAACGCGCTTCGTTTGAATTCATATATTGCAATATTAATCGCAATGTTTGTCGTGTAAAACGTTTAAATTAAGACGCGTAGTCTAGATGTTCCGTTCAGCTTTAACCAAGCTAACCAGTTTTTGTACTATTGCTAACCAGTTTTTAGCCACAATTACGGAGGCAGTCAAGAAGTAAGTTTTCAGTTGATTTCCAGGTTATTACAGTTAATTCTCAGTTTGTTTTTAACGCTTGTGAGGCCGAGTGCCGACGTTATTTCTTTGTAATAATAATCTCATATTCTGCAAATCTGAGTAGAATAATGGTTTTATTAAAAATGCACACAAAAATAAATCTGCTCTTTTCCAACAATGCTACATGGCTCGCTTACAGATATTTCTTTCTCATTTTGCTGATAAATTCATTGAACATATCTGTTGAAGCCAGACAATGAGGTTACATGCCTATGTTCAGTCAATCAGAAGGCAAAAAATTTAACAACTATAATCCACTTTTCAAATATACTTACCTCCTAACACTGATCTTGTTATTCCCTATAGAAAACGAATGAAAAATGAAGAAAACATGAAAAAAAGGGAAAAATTAAACAGTCAAACGAAAGAGTATCATCTCAAGTTTAGAGACTTAAGGTTGAGTTACTGTAGCAGATGAAACATGTGATAGTTCTCTTTAAACTTAGTTGCACAACAGAAAGCAAAACCCAGGTAAATACAATAACCCATCTGAAGCAAGGAAAACATCACAAGAAGCCATTGGGAGTCAGTCACACCTCAACAAAAGAGGATAACCTACCAAAGGAATCTACATTTCTGCTCTCTTGAAGAAAACCCTGCCAACAATATTCCAGTTGCAGGTGCTCTTTCGGAATATTACATGCCCTAAAGGGAATCTATGCAGTTATATTTAATCCTATGACAGAAGAACAAGTTTACCAGCCAATTTTAAAACAATAAAAGACTACAAGTTGTGGTATAGATTTATCTCAAGCAAGTTCCCTGGGCTTGAATGTTTGTAAATGTTCCAAATATTTACAACATCTACCACTGTATAAATTTAGTATCTCATATTAGATTTGACTTAATCTGATCCAGATTCTTTTTTCACTTTACCTTTTCTTTCCTGAAGTCTCATAGTTTTAGTTAGTTCTTCTTGTTCTTTTTCACGACCAGTGGTGAACATGTCAGATGGGGGTGAAGTACCTAAGAAGACCAAAAAGTGTAGAGCAAAATTAGCATTCAGTATCTTCCTCATGTTTAACTCAAATGTACCTATTCCTTCAACCCTCACAACAGCCAACTTAATATTCCTTTAAACTGAATGACAGATTGGGGAAAATTCTACATTTGAAATGATGGAAAAAAGGAGCGTGTCCAAAAGAGCACCAGGCAGTCGTGCTACTGCAATCTCACAGATTTCAATGAAACTTTGCCAGTTTAAAGGGTCTACAAAAAACTCAAACTGGTTGCCAGTTTAAAGGGTCTACAAAAAACTCAAACAGGCAAACTGGTTTCTGTTTTGGTTATTTCCAGGAGGAAAGAGGTTTGTTTTCTGATATGTTGAAGAACCTCAGTCCTAGGTTTTCATTAATGAAATCGCTTCAAAATAGATAAAATATATGAAGCTCTCAATGCGATGGTATTTAACCAATTACTCTGAGACTTTACACATACATCCTTAATTAATGTGCAACTCGAGTATCAGTCAATTTGACTGATAGCTTGTCAATCAACAGAGGCAAATAAATGACTGTGTTTTAAGACTTTTCGATTCATCCAAATATTTGATAACTTTGAGGTCAAATATCTTCCTTTGCCAGAAAGCTACAACATTAATTTTAATTCCACTTCATAATCCATCATTTCAACTCTGAAAACCATCAAAAAATCTTTGGGCACTACAGTATTTTTGTCTTGGATGCCTTTTAAAATCTGCGACTGTGACAAGCTTCTCTCAACTACACCTGTTGTGCAATTCTGGCTCCAGACAGTCATGTGAGCAAAAATCGTAGCGTTTCTTTCTTCTGTCGTCTATTACTTCGGAGATTTGCTAAAGTTGGCAAATATGTATTTTGTGCGGCACAAAACATTCAGTAGTATATGATAAGATTATTTATTATCATTATCGCACAGTTTACAATATGATTGCTAGGGGTATGCAGATACTGTAGAGGCACTCACATAAACAGTTTGGAGGCGGGTGATCCTTCCCCAGACTTTGGAACTGCGACAAGTTTATAGCGCAGACCAGCTGACACAGTTTGGATCACCTCGGGGCCTCACTTTAGGCTCATCACACTAGAAACCTCCAGCAAACTAGTCATAGATGCAGGTGGTTATCAGTAATGTGCATAGATCTCTGACCTTGGGCCATCACGAGAAATACCCAATCAGTCACGGACAGAACAAGAAAGCGAGATACTCTTGTCAAGAGGAAGGATGTATTAAAACGTTTCAGTGATTCACTGCCTTCCAAAAAGTACCCCAACATAGGCAAACACAAAGTGAAGCTGACAAAAGAACGAGATGAGGAGAAAATGGAGGGAGGCTTGCCATTCTGTAGGGGTGGCTATGTTCAAGCAAAAATTCTCACAAACAATTCCTTACTAGCCAGGGGGACTTTGGGTGGGCCCTTTGAAAAACACGAAAAGCAGCTACCTTTTCTCAGAGAGCTAAGAATTATCTCCTAGATGTGTGCTGGGTAGGGGAGGAAACCACTATGAAAATCGCCTTTAATGTGGCTTCCCAAATAAAGAGTTTTGAGGAACGACACCGACCAGAATTGTTGTCTAAGACTGACTGGTTGATAGAGCAGCAGATCGCTTGATACTTCAGGTGACTATCTGCCCTGACAAAAACTGGTTTACTGAAGAGGCCCCCCTCTGTAAGTATGAATGAGGACAAAGAGGCGGATGACAATAATTTAACTTCAGAAGTTGAAACTAACTGAACAAGGTTGAAGATAACCAGGGACCTTGCAAAATTTCGACAAAGACTTCAGGAGAGGGTACAGCAGGTATTAGGCTACAAAAAATACAGACCTTTGCATCTCACTTTTCTTTCAAATTTATCGTCATTATCAACGAAAACAACTGGCTATGACTTCGGGTTTTTTCATCAAGATAAAATTTGCAGGAAGCGTACTGGTAAAAGTATTGCTGGGTCATTCTGTAAGTCACGCAGTTCAACACCGGCAATACTCAATCGACAGAGGTGTCAGTTTACATGTAGTTAAAGAATGCTTGAAAAAATGCAGACATTGTACGATCGAAGCCAGCAAATACAAATAGAGATCCGCAAAATATTCGGATCCAGGAATTTATGGTTCGGGAGGAACTAACTTTGACTCCAAAAACACAATTTTTTTCGTTTTACGCCAGAGGCTAAGTAAGGCCTAAGTACAGTTGCGGGAGAGAATGCGTCTTGTCATCTACAATTCATTAAGAGTTTAAGTTTTTTTTCCAACTCTTTCTTTCGACGAATTCGACTAGGTAAATACTGTAAGACTTCCTGCATTTTTGGTACAAATAACCTTTATAGGAAATCTATCTCAACTAGGAGTTCTCTGTACTTCTCGCACAAAAAAAAAAATAAATAACTCGCTTATCATCCGAAAAAAGCATGGAAAAGACAACACCTGGTCTTTTTCCAATTTGGGGTCGCGAGGAAGGGGTCATTCCAATGGAAGATATTTCTCCGAGTTTCAGCTATTTTTAAAATAGGCATTTTATGTTACTGACATGAACTGATTGTTAAATTGCGTATTACCCTGTGACGAGAGGCCCTTCGGTTAACCTCTTCAAGTTTCTCCTCTCAGAAAAGATCAAAAGGCAGTTGCACAGATTTTACTGTTAATACACAATACCTTTGTCCCCTGCTCTCTTTTTAGGATTAACGATTGCTTCCTTTAATTCATCCGGGCTTCTACCAATTTCATCCATTGTTTCTTTGATGCTTACTTCATCCACGATGCACTGCTTAAGAAGCTCTTTATAGTGTTCTTCGAAATCAGGATCCATGCATTCCTCTTTCAGATTATGGATAGCACTTTGGTAACCAGCTCCTCCCAGTCTCACCAATGCATCTTGGATGTCCTGCCAGTATTGATTGAATGTTGGGTCATCTATGAAGGCCTCGCTGGCATGACCATACACTGTGTTTCTGTAGCACTTGATGCGAACGATATCTGCCTCAAGGGTTGTGTCTGCTGCAGGAGGAAGTGTATCCCAGCCGGTAGCTGGGCGAACAAGACCGCATATGTTCCTCAGCAAAACCATCAGTAGAGGGATATCGAAACGCGTTGATGAAACTGCAGATTTGATGGCAGGATATAGTTCCCACCATTGAGAACGACTAAGAATTCGTTTCTTTTGAAGTGACTTTAAGTCTTCACGAACTGGGGGACTTGACAAAACGGAGTTCAGGTCTCCTGTTGGACGCCTCTCATCAAAAGTCTTTCTCAAGATATGTGCACTGACATCCACCAAAAGCCTGCATAACTGGGCGTAATTACTTGTCTCTTTTGTTGAACGAAACGATGGGGCCACTGCTGAGGCCATCTCTCCTGAAAAAAAAAATCATCCTACGTCAAAAAACACAAAAGAAGCGTATAAAGATACTGAGAAATTACTGAAGAAAAGTTTGGAACCGATATGAAGTTATCTGGCCTAGAATTCATTTCGCACCGGATGCTGAGTGGATAGCGCTATCCATCCTCCCAACACCATTTTTAACATCTGTAAATTATGCGGGTTTTTTTTCTTTTTCCTACATCCCCTATAAAAACAAAGTTACGCTACAAATAATGTTCGAAATCCAGTCAGGACATTCTACCACCCAGTTTACCGAGATTGAAAAGAATTAGAGCGTACGTGTTTAAACCACAAACCGAGTCAATTTGTCCGATCCCAGTAAAGTCGGCATGTACTAAAACACAGATGATAGATGATAGACGGTAGACGACAGACGGTAGACGATAGACGATAGACGGTAGACGATAGACGACAGACGATAGACGACAGACGACAGACGGTAGACGATAGACGGTAGACGGTAGACGATAGACGATAGACGATAGACGGTAGACGATAGACGACAGACGATAGACGATAGATAGTGTGACGGAACATGATCACGAAATTTAAAATTGTCACGCAATCTGAGAGGCTACAGCTTCTTTTCTTCTATCATTGAACTGCGACAGTTTCTTCTTGATTCCTGACATAAATACAACCACTGTTCAAAGCAACACCTCGCTAAAAGTAAACAGTTTCCATGGAAACCAGAAAATATACATTTTGGTTTACTTTGTCAATGAACAAGTTCTTTAAAGATTTGGTGTTCACATTTAAATTTCTGTGGCTACACAGTCTCTATATTCTGCTCCCATCTCTTAATCTCTCCTTGTCTTTGCCAACCTCCAGTGGTGGACCTTATCAAGTGGGGATGAAAGGCTACAGCTTCCTCTCCAGAATTAGTGGTGGATAATTAAGATGAAGGAACGGCTACAAACAGAGATATCAAGCATTCATGCCTTGCCATAAATTTGACATTAACAACTGGGATGCTACCATGACAACTTTGACATCTATGTATTTATTGTGTCTGGAGACACAATAGACAGGAACAGGAATCATTAGCTTCATCTAATAGGAAATTGCTTTTGTCATACTTTGCATCGATTAAATATCATAGGGCTGCAATGATCCTTCAAACGTTCATCACATGAGTAGTTATCACTGCGACAAGTAGTTTTATCTAAACTGGAGCCTTCGATTCATGATCTCTCTCTGCAAACCTGAGAACTCCACCAACTGCCTCTACGTAATCACAAATGGTATGTTGAGCTACCAAAGAGTGCTCTAGCAAGTTCTCAACTTCAATTTCTTTGTTGACAGAAAATCCCCGCTCTACAGATGCCTGGCCATGTGACAGCAACAGCAAAATTTTCAGTAGGTCAAAGAATGTAAGGTAAAGGTAAAGGTAAAGAATACGATCCTACCGACGCGTCTTCTTCGGGAAACTTTCAATTACGATATGGAAATGAATAATTTCCATTTGGCCGCCATCTTGTTTGTCTTGTTCTTGGAACCCATTTACTTATCCTGATTGAGCATTAAATGAACATTTCCTTTAATTTTCCGGAAGGACACCTAAATATTCTAAACCGACACCCGTCGTCTAGTTTTTAAATCTTTATTACCTAAAACACTGTCATTTTATTACGTTGGACTTTAACTTTTTCAAACTTTGTGGCTCCTAAAGGAGCCGTTTTTTTCGATGACTAGGAGAAGATCTAGGTGCTAGTATTTCGTTTTCAAAATGGCGGTGATTTAGATTTCTTTTCGAGGGGGGAAGCGCAAAGCGCAGAAAAATCATCCAAAACCAAAAAACCGAAAACCGCATGCAAAACTGTCAAAACCGATACATTTTCACATCCCAGTTATTAAAACCCTGATCGATCCGATACAGTGGTGACAAATGTAAACTACACTAATTTTATTACAGGATTTATGAATGCCATGGATTTGGCATTCGTATCTTCTAGTGTCTGGTAAAATTAACAGCTGCTCTCTCGAGGACCTCGAGCGTGGTCTATGCGGACTCAACAGCTGGTAATGGAGCCTAGTTGAATTAAGGAAATTCGCACGAAAGTCCTCTACAGGATTGCAATTTTGTAGTCGCAAAAAGCTGTAGCTCTGGAAAGTTTCATCGAAAATCCCGAATCTAACATTTCTATTTGCGAACGAAGACCTGAAAGTTTGGAGATTCTATTGGAAAGTTTAATCAATCAGTCACGCGTGTCTTGTAACTTGGTCACCCACTTCGAGGTGGCGTTGATGAAGAAACTCTGGCAATGTTCCGTGCTTAGCCGTACTAGGTGAAGAGAGGTTAGCAGGGTGTCACGGGCGTGGGAATTTCTCATGGCGTGAAAAGACAAAAGAAAGTTAGCAGAAGGAAGCCGTCAAGAAGAATTTGAAGAATTTCTTCGCGACCAGGTGTCCAAAACACCACCATCCTACTGTGAAATTTACGGCTTACATATCAGCGGAAGAAATAAACTTTCTGGACAAAAAAGAGGCTATTTCACCAATTCGTTCAGCGGATTTCTTCTGTTCCTCAACAAATTGCAAATCGTCAGCTCTATGGCGTTTAAATTGCCCTTCCTGAAAGGGAAATGTAATTCAGACGGATCTTTGGATTGTCATGGTTTACCATTATTCGCATGGAAGCAGTTGCGAGATAAAGAAGAGGCTATCGGTCGAGGATCCTATGGTTTGGTTTGTGCGACTTTTTATGCCGCGACTAAAACTCATGGCAAATTTAGCATAACAAAAAGTAACTAAACAGGTTTACAACGCGAAAACGCAGCTATCTTTCATGCATAATGGTTCATTATTATTCATACCACCCGGTGAAAGAAAAAAAATTAATAACACTTAATTTTAGCCCCGCGCGTTATCGTCGTGGGGATGAATGAGCCAAGCGCTTGAGTATTTTTGTACAAAATTTGTGCAACATGCCCTGACATCCGTTTCGTGTTTTAGGATTTGGGGTCATTTTCTACCGTTTCGTGTTTTAGGATTTGGGGTCATTTTCCGCCGTTCCATGTTTTAGGATCTGGGGCCATTTTCCGCCATTCCGCCATTCCACCGTTCCAGCTTTTAGGGTCATCCTTTTCTTACGCGGTCGATCTTACCAACGCTGCGGTAGTGTGTCGGCCAACGCGTTGGTCGATCTTACCAACGCGTAGCATGCTAGCTCCCTCAATATACGACCCTTAAAAAAAAACTAGGAGAAGACCTAGATATTAGTGTTTCGTTCTCAAAATGGCGGTGATTTAGATTTCTTTTCTTACGAGGTTGGTCTTATGTGTTCGATCTTACCAATGCGTCGGTAGTGTGTCGGCCAACGTGTTGGTAATGTGTCTGCCGAAGCGTCGGTAGGATCGGATTCTTTACCTTTACCCAATGAGCACCATTTTTAAATTACATCAACTCTAAAAAAAAGTTCAAACTGAGTATCCCGTTCACCTTTCCTTCCCCAAGGCTCTTCTAGTTCTTTTCCATGACCAGTGGTGGGTACTACAAAGAGGGGTGAAGTACCTAAGGGTAAAAGAGGCAGAGAGAAATTAGCATTAATTTACAACCTCTCTTCAGATGTTTTGTTGCGATAAGTGGAAATAATAATTAATAATAATAATTAGTTGATCCAATACTAAATTCTCTGAACTAACTTGATGAGAATTGTATGGTTGACAGTAAGGAGAATTACAAATTTGATCTGGAAGTTAAAGGGTTAAGGGCAACTCCATGTTACAGACTTTACATTCAGAGACCAATTTTTTGGAAACTAAATTCCTTAACAAACTTATTTTGCACAGTTTTGAATTAATACTTTGTTCAAACATTCCTCACAGGGTAATTGACTATCAGCAGAGGAAAAATTTTCCTTTCTTTAACAGAGGCTGCTGATATTTTTGTGTGAAACTCTGTTACAGACATTACAAAAAAAATCAACCTACAATTTAATGTGTTCACTTGACACTTATTTTCCAGTTTCATTGAGCTAGCTCTAACTGGTGTTTCTGCTGTCTTTTGGTTCTTGCTTTCTGAGATACAGTGCAGATTAGATTTCTAGCATGAGACCAAGTTTTACATTGGAAGAGTCCTTAGTGTTACTGACAATGAGGTTGAAATATTGATATTGTCCAAAAGAGAAGTCTCCTATGGCTCCATAGAGGTAAAAGGCACTGGACCTTTCAATGTTCCAAGTCTTTCATAAATTGAGAGGCTGTTTAAATATTTTCAAAAAGAAAATGTTTTCAAATAACTAGTCAAACTAACTGCATGCAGATTGCAGTAGTTAAACATTCCCTTAATTTCTTAACTAATGGATAATGTACCGAACTCCTTGTTAGAGTACAATTCTTAATATGCCACTTGACACTATTTTGGAATGTTACACTACACTGAACTGCATGAATTGACAATTTTCTTTGTATGAGGACAGTCATTATCAGTGCAATTGCCTTTGAAAGATGAAGTATTGCTTATTTTAAGCTACATTTCTGAAACATTTTTTAATTTGTTATCTTCAGATATTTGAAAAGAAGTTACTGACTATAAACATGATATGTCTTTCAGTAAACTTGTTTCACAAATGGACTTAAAACTTTTTGAAAATTTATACTCCTCATGTCACCATGGTGTTGCAACTGTTATTGTACAGTTGTTGTTATAGTTATAGTTATTAGAGTTTAATTAAAAGCACTTACAACTTGGATGTGATAAATTTGAACAAGCTGGTTTTCATGACGCATTTATTTCTTCCAAAACATTTACTATAATAAAAGTCATTCAGCCACAATGTCCATGATGTAATTTCCATAACACTGTGTCCATAAAGCAATGTCCATAATGTAATATCCATAACATAAAGTAGGCCTTATTTTTTCTAGTGTTTTTCCAGGATTTTGATAATTTACAGCACTTAAGTTTGGGCCCTTAAAAACTGAAAAAGGAGCCAAGCTTACGAAAAAACTGGTTTTTATTCTCAGAGAAAACAAAATAAATTGGTTTTTGTTACAGAAATTACGTGAATTGTTACTTGCCCTTGTTTACGAAGTACATCCATTTTGGAAAAAATCTTATGAGCAAGTTCATCTTTGTTTTGAGTTCAAATAGTTTTGTTCCCCTGGTGAGATTTTGGGAATAAATATGTCTCACTAAAATAATTTTAAATGTTACAGAATGCCATGTATTTTCACACACTTTTCATTAGACAAAAATAAACAGCCTCTGTTTGCCATTTCCTGCAAAATCAACTTTCAGATTATTATTTTTTAAACAATTTAGGGTATCCTCACTCCAAAAATCCATCACTGGGCTAGATATGAAAATATTATTTTAAATTTCATCATTTAAGCAGTCCTAAAATGGGATGGCCCTTAACAACAATGGCCATTTCCATCAACCTATAGCCTTGGATTACTAGTTTTCTTAAATGTAAACTTGTAACATTCCATAAGACTACTGCCCTATAGCATTTAGAAACAACTGCTACCCTGTAAATTGAAAATTTAACACAGAACATGTGAGCTTTGTCATTATTTCAAATTGCATTAAAACTTCTGCATTCCTGATGCAAGGTGAGAAAACTTACCAAATGCAAGATTGAACATCCTTTTAACAAGGAAATCACAAGGCTCCTTCCAGCTGAACTGCTGCAAATAGTAATAACGAAGAATCTTAGCCTCTGTAAGTCGTACATTCCTTTTTTTGTCACGCACAGCCTTTATTGCTCTGGCCCAGTCTGCAGGATCCTCTGAATCCACTATACAGTATGACCCATTGGGGACCTCCCTTAAGGCTTCTGCAATTCCTGAGTTACCACTGACAAGTACTGGAAGACCAGCGGATATGGCTTCAAGAGCGCTTAACCCGAATCCCTCGGTTTTTGAGGGCAATATGGCAATATCCACTGCAGAGAATAAGTTAGCTAATGTTTCCCTGTTTTCATCAAAGCTGCAGATCACTAGCTGACTGGGACCAATACCACACTGAAATAACTTGACTGCTAATTCATCTTCTTTTCCTCTCTGTTTAGAAGCAAACTTGAGTTTGTAAGATTTATCCTTCAGAATAGCAATGGCTTTCACTGCAATGTCATACCCTTTAACATAAAAATCTTCACTATCACCACTCTCAGTTACCAAGACATAAAACGATCTGCTTTCATTGCTAACTTGCTGCACATCTGAAAATTCAGTGAAAATACTTGGTGTAAGGTTAAAAACATCTTGTTTTCTGAGTTGGTGCTTATATACATCAGTTAGCTTGGGGCCAATTGTTACAACTTGATCAGCCATTTTACATAGTTCTACTTCTGTTTTCTGCATTTGTTGACCGTCAGAAATGCTTTTGTACATGCCAATTTCTTCGGGAGCAGTATGGACAACTTGAATCCATTTGCAATTACTGTAGTTTGGATTTTTCTTTATGAGTGAAATTTGCTGACCAAGAGCTACTCCATGTCCTACAACACAATCTATAACATGGCCATCAGGTACAGAGGCTAGCCAAAGAACTGGTTTCAAACCATGCAGTTTAACAGCTTCAATCAGTTTAACATTGTAACTATCAGCATCTTTCTTGTCCTCTCCACTACATTGAGGTAAGAAGACACTGACTTCCACAATGGGATGTTTAGCCATCTGTATTGCTAGCTCTCTGTTGATGGTTGTCAAGTCTCCATAGCTTGACGTTTTCCATTCAGCACTCAAAAAGGTTACTCTCAGTTTCCTTTCCCCAGTGTTGTTCTGTAAACACAAGATTTTTGTGATTTAGGAAATTCAATTAGAGTTGTAGAAATAATAAAAACTCATTTTATGAATTATTTTACTCTCTTATAAATTTTTTCTCTATATCGATCTCTTATACTTGGTAAATACCAGTATTATATAATTATAAAGTTTTGTATCTACAGGGATGTAATAGTTGGCAGGAATGCAATGATAATAGTGAAGTTTCCTTAGAATGAATTGACACTAAAGTACAAGTAAAAAAACAGCTTGGTCGCAACTGTGATTTTCAAAAACAGTTTTTTCATATCCTACCTTTAATTGTTTCGACATCATGGGAACCTTGAAATAAAAATGAAAAAAACATAAATTCCTTTCATTACTTATTCACTAAAAATGCATTAAATTACTACCGTACTAAATGACAACTTGAAATTGCAGTTGCTGGCATATCATGGTACAGTTAAATAATCGTGTTGCCTTTTTGATCGAGTGAAATTTAATTGACGAAATATATCCATGAAAAAATTCTTCCTTCTGATTAGCAAAGAGAAATGAACTTTTCAGATAACAATGCAGAGGAGACGTACTTCAGTGCTAAAAAGAAGTTATTTTAAAAGTGCTTAAAATTTGACGGATTGTTTAGCGATTACACACAGGGTAAATAAACAAATTATTGTGCACGCGATTCCTGTAAATAATTATTAAAAGCTATCATATGGTTTTATCATGAATACTATTTATCAATACGTAATCATCAGATTTTTGTCGTGAAATCTGGAATAAATAGGCACTCCTAAATTATGTCTGACTACAAAATGCATCTACCTTACGACAAAATTTTTGGCGAGAGACATCCGCGAAGACACTAGTATACCCTTAAATATCAAGACAAAGTTACACGATTTGTATTTATGATTCAGTCTACTGTTCGTCTTAGAAAAGACGTTTGAAAAAAAAGGTGATGAGCTGCTCTCAGGTATTTACAAAAGTTGTTCATTTCAGTTAGAATTCTAGGCATCATGCATCAGAAGTTGACACGAATTAGCTTACCAAGACTTTGTGGTGTTTAGCAAAGTTACTGGAAGTGCAGGTCATGGATCTATTCCCTTCAGTGTCAGTCTGGAGCCACAGTTCGCTGATGATCTGAAATCACTTCATAGGAGCTGATACTATTACTTATATCAAAATAAACTGGTACAACACCTCGCTAAACATTAGTATTAGTGGATTTCCGCATTCTTAAATCACTTTCGGTTTAATTAATATAATCATTTCACTTGGTTCGTTTGCTATACCTGCATCAAGAGTTCCGGAAGGTAATTCGCGCGCAATGCATTCTGGGATAGTCTCACAAAAAAAGTGGGCACCAAGCGTGACAATATGGCGTGTGTCTCTGTATTCAATGCGTTCTTTGAAGCGTGTCTTTATCTATAATACAGTCTTTTTGTTCTTGTAAGTGATATCAACTGGAAAATAATCTTCGTGGGTATTATATTCAAAAGGTAAGTTACAAATTTTAACTTTGTTTTAGCTGTTTTTAAGCTTTTAATGGTAGTAGATTCAATCCTGCGCGCGAGTGACATTCGCGAATACAAGAACTGTCAAAAGTCAAAGATTCTCATCGTATTTTTATTACTTTGCAGCCGTTTAATGACATGGTCTTTGGGCACAGAAATTGTGCAGTATTTGGGTGCCATAACAGTGGGAAAAAGCTTGAGAAATGGGCTTCACAGCAATGCGAAGTTCACGATTGTTTACACGGCACTCCGCCATGTGACTGTCCGCTGCCGTTCAAGCTATTTCCGTTCCCTACTGAACGCAAAAACAATGAGGGTAGAAAGCGCTGGATCCATCTTCTAAAGAGAAAAGGCCCGAAAGGAGAAGTCTGGCAACCTAATAATTCGTCGAGAGTCTGCAATGAGCACTTTGTTGATGGGAAACCCACGAAAGAAAACCCTGATCCTGTACTCAAAATGGGCTACGAGACAAAGTCTACTCGTAACCGTAAACCGCCTACTGATAGATCATCATTACTAGAAGAAATGAAACGTTTAAGAACTCAAGATAATACTCAAGATAACACACAAGATAATATTCAAGATGATACTCAAGATAATGCACATGATAGTCAAGATGCTCCTGTGATTCAAGAACCAAGTAGTTCCTCGTTTATAACAGAAGAAGAACATTGTACTACTGCCGGTCGACCCGACCATATCACTCACGATCATGCATATTCGTTTGGCTGGTACAACCTAGAAGATCCTGACTTCTGTATGAAAGAAAAATGCTTGCAGGAAAGACTCAAGCAGTTCAATGAGATCAAAGATCTCAAAGAAAAACTCAAGAACTTGAAAGTGAACTCAAAGCATGTAAGATAAAACTCAAGGCCAGACAGCGTAAGGGACTAGAACATTCTGATTTGAAAACAAATTCATCTGTTCGTCTACTAACCGGCCTACCATCAAAACGAGTATTCAATAAGTTGTTTGAAGTAGTGAAGGGAAACATTAAAAAAAAGTAAACTACTGGAGTGGCCCAAAAAAATACTAAAAAAAGGAAGAAACTTCAAAAAAAACACCAAATAAGTTTGGCCCTAAAAGAGCTTTGTCAGAAAAAGATGAGTTTCTTTTGACCTTAATGAAACTTCGACTTGGATCAACAAATGCTGACTTGGCACAGAGGTTTGGAATTTCAACTACAAATGTAACAAATGTTGTTACTACCTGGGTGAAAATCCTAGCAAGTGAACTTAAATGTTTGGTTTACAATCCCTCCATCGATGTTGTGAAAGCAACTTTGCCCGCAAAGTTTAAAAAGCCAGGCTACTCTAATGTACGCCACATCATTGATTGCACAGAAATATTTATTGAAACCCCAAGCGACCCAAACCTTAGAGCAGCTACGTGGTCAGACTACAAGCATCACAACACTGCTAAGCTGTTGGTATCAATAACACCACATGGTTTTTTCAATTTCTTATCCAAAGCATGGGGAGGGAGAACTTCAGATGTGCATCTGACAAGAGAATCATCATTTTATGATATCATTGAACCTGGCGATGAAGTGATGGCAGACCGTGGATTCACAATTGCTGAAGACCTCTTAATCAGAAGCTCAAGACTACACATCCCCCCTGGTAAACGTGGACAAGAGCAGTTCACTAAAGCTGAAGTTGCTAAAACAAAAGAAATTGCAAATCTTAGAATCTTTGTTGAGCAAGCAATAAGACGGTTGAAGACGTTTAGACTGATAAAGCATGAACTACCAATATCACTTCTTGGCAGTATAGACAACATTGTACTTATTTGTGCAGCCTTATGTAACTTGTATAGACCCTTGGGTAAAAAATGATTAACAAGAAATGTACAAATAGCTAAAAAGATTGACAGCATTTAACCCATGAAAGAATATAAACTTCATAAATTTAGAGGATACCAATATGTATTAGTCTAAGTTCTTTCTTAGGTTAAATGTTATTCAAAATCTCTGCTCTACTTTACTAGCAACTAGTATAGAGTGCAATCACTTAATCTTTCATACAAATGGTACCAAATAATACTAAATAGTGTTGATAATGGTACATAACAAGAAAATTAAGTAATAGTATGATTTAGTACCATTTAATGCTTCAGCTATTAAGTATGTGCACTCTGAATAAGAACTGTTATATTATTTGCACCACAAGGACCTCACAAGAGAAAAATTATTCTGGTAGAGTGATTACAATCATTAGATATAATTTGTAAATATTTTTCTTCATTTCACAGCTCATGTGTCGCTGAACACAAATAAATAATATATTATTTATTATTACTATATATATAACTGCAAACAATATCAAACTGTAACATTTTCAATCATACTGAAGTGTGGTCAATGCATTACTTGTATAAAATTTCATGATTTGATTCATCCATTCCAGTTTCCACAACAGACAATTTTACTGTTCTATTCAGAGACTATTTGAGTTCAATTTAGAACTGTCAGACCAGTTTTTCCAGATATGAAATTGTAAAAATTCTAAATTGTATATAAAATGTACAAATGTATTTTTAGTGTTTACACCATGTAAATAAAGTTTTGTATCAAGTTATAATTAACGAGCATTCATTCACTTAAATACTTATTATAAAACCAAATTAGGTTTTGCTTTATCTTTTCCCAGTAATCATTATTGAACTTGATTAGCTCCAGATGATAACCCTTTTGGGTGTAGACCAGGAAGTGACACCATGTTCTCTTTGTCACAGCCATTTGTCCCTGTATCTGTGCAAAATATGCATGCTTCTCTTTCAAGACAATTTTGCCATTAATCTTTACCAGGTAGGAAAGATTGTCTTCTGATGGTAAATCATTAACAATAGAATAAGGGCACTTCACTTCTAGCACCCCTAATCCACAACAGGAACATTCAACAAGCAGATCAGGGGATGCTCCAATGAATTGGTCAGATTCATCAATAAATAGTCCACACTCTCTGAATTTTGCATCTTTGTGCTCCCTCTGAAACAGTTTCACATACTTATCCTTAGCAACTTTCTCCATGTTTCTTCCATATTTTAGAGCAGGTAAATGTTCCGACGGTCCATTACTTTTACCCTGGATTGTGTCCACTAGTTCCTGTGCATCACCCCCCTTAGTTTTAAGGGTTTCAACTTTTGTGTACACTCTATAGAAATTAGAGGCAGTTAATCGGCCTTTTCTGTAATCGTGCCATGCCTCATTCTCAGACTGACCAATGGTGCCTTGTTCAATCAGATGTATATCATCAGCACTTAAGTCTTTCTTTGATGACTTAGGCATTACACATTCAGGTACTTCAGTATTAATTTCTATTGTAACGGAAGTTGAACACGGTTCCTCAAACTCAGCCGTTGCTAATTTGATGAATGCCGATTCTGGCAACAAGTCCTTCAAATTATTATAAAACGACTTCCTCTTTCCTTTTGGAGTCAGGGGCTTCAACTCTTCATGTGAATTGAATAACTTTCGGCGACTATCGATGGCAGGTCTGGTCGTCTCTAGAAAAACACAAAATAAAAGTAAATTAATTGCTAGGTTACAAGCTAATAAGAACTTTCTTATTTATGTCCCCAGATAACACTTATGTCTATCCAGTATACATACTGTAAATACTTTGTTTAGAATTTTAAACATAATAACATACCTTTATTTAGCTTTGAAGCCTTCCACTCCATATCACAAATTCTAGAGGGCTTGATTACAGTCTTGTTTCCTATTGGAACATTCCACACACACTCTTTGGACGTACATGCAGGATTTGTCATACCATTACGGTTTGCTGCTTCAATTCTGAACAGCAGTGCCATCACATGAATACAAGAACCACTCATACTGAAACAAGAAATAACAAATAGTTAGGGTATATGATAGACATAATATTTTAAACATTCTAAAGTATAATATATATTGAGCTTAGACCAACAACATTAGTCATAAAATCGAGGTATATGATAAACATGATATTTTAGGCTTATATTTTGCATCAGTTACAAGTTAAAGTCTTATAAAACAGAAAGTCTAACATACCCAGCAGTACAGGTACAGTAGGCACTGATAATCTCTCCATTTTTTCTTGAACAAATCCATGATGTATGTGGTGTATCACCAACCTTCATCGAATGCGTACATTTTGCTTTCAAGAAGCAAAAATCCATATTTTCTAGTTCATGGTAGAAAACTTCTTTCAGAAAGCCCGAGTCAAATAAGCGGTATGCTTTCCCCTCTTTGTACTCATTCATGACCCGTTCGTGCAGTTTAATATCCTTTCCAGGATGATCAGCCATCAGATATTTCGTAATGTCACTTAGAAATATAGGAGGCCATGATGTTAGCCCATCTTTTACATCAATCCATCCGTCCTTTAGCCCAAGAGGATCGGGAAGCTTGCTGCCCTCAGGAGTAAACAATAGCTTCGCTCTCTCAGACTCCGTGATGCACATTAGTTCTTTAGCCGATGCTTGTACTTGGATTCCCATCTCTGATGCTGCAAACACACGGGCTACAAGTTCAGCTTTAGCTCCAGAAGTTTTAAGATTTCGTTTACGGCAAAATAACTTGAGAGCGTCCACCTTCCATGTGTTGACTTCCTCGAGGGAAAGCTCACTTGTCTCGCTCATTTCCACGCCAAAAACGACGAGAAAACTATATGAAAACTATATACAAACTAGTGAAAACTATATACAAACTATTATTAAAACTATATACAAACTATGATCTAATTTAAACTGGAAAAAATTGTAAAATCGCGAGGTAAAAGTGTATAAATGTTGACGATGCTTTAGTTATCAAGATGGCCGCTGTCACGCTTGGTGCCCACTTTTTATATGAGACGATCCCAGAATGCATTGCGCGCGTTTCGATATCGGAGACTCTTGATGCAGGTATTCACCCCTTGCAAAACGAGAGGGACTGGGAACGAGTTTGCATGGGAGCGAGGTCCAAACTTTTATAGCAAAATGGCAACTTAAACAAAGCTTTCAGAGAAAGATATACCTAGAGCTTCGCTTTCTGGACAGTCCTTCAACTCTCAAGACAGATGAGCTTTTGTTCTGGTTAAAATGTATGGGTGACCCAGCGAAACGCCTTAAAACCAAGGCACAAATGGTTAAAAGGTAGGAAGATTGCGTTCGTGTTGTTGTTGTTCTCAGATGGCTGTCAAACTAGTACACGTGAAAATATTACAGAGATCAAACAAAGGAATGTACAAGAATATATTGATTCGGGAAAGGATAAAGAAATTATTGACCCTGACCCGCAGCATCTGTATACGAAACGCAAAAGAAGACTAGATGCTTTGCAAAAGGACTTTTCAAAAACGACACCTACGAACAAGACAAATATAAACTACCCGTCTACAGGCTAGTCAACAAGAGTTCTAAGAATACCTTTGTTTACCAAAGGTGAAATGAACAGGCACATAGAGCGATCAGGTAAAAATTTAGGCTCATTTTCTAAAATTCACTCGGTTCCAACAAGTCTTCGTAAAGCAAAGACATTTCTAGAAGATGAGTATTTAAAGGAAATTCAAGCTGCAAGCGATGACCATTGCTTCTACTTCAAAAGCCTGTGCTATCACAGTTTTAAGAAAAGTGAGCCTCCACATGAGCTCCGCACAGCTTTGTCCATAGTAACAGGGGAAGTTTTACATGCATCCTTGTACTGCTGGTAAGACAGGCTTTTGTAACCATGTCCTAGGACTCTTCATAAAACTTTGCAACTTCTCCACATATGAATGCAAGGATATCAGGCAGCTCAATAAAGATGGAGACATGAGTCCTAGAGTGGAGTGCATTTCTACATTACAAATGTGGCACAGAACTGGTAGAGGAGACACAATCAGAGCTCAGCCAGTCATGGAAGTGGTTGTTAAGAAATCAAAACTTGATATGGCACACTCATCTGAAGGATTGAAATGCTTGCTGTGTGAATCTAGAAAGAAATGCAAATCTCAAGTCTCTGCAGAAACTTGTCTAAAGGAAGAACTATCAAAAATCAATCCTAAAATGGGTTTATGTGAAGTAGCTAATTCTGAATCAGTCAACTCTGTAGACACAAGGTTTGATAAATCCCCTCTTGGATCATATGTCAGCTACCAACTGACATTTACAGAGTCTAACTTTAAAGTTTACTGCAACATAGATGCTATTCCTAGATTAAGTTGTGATGAGACTTTAATTGTTAACATGCCAGACAGCTATCCTAGATTTCCCCTGGAAGACACCACTGATTACATCCCTATGACAGATGGTCTGGATGATGCCCAGAAAGCTCTGCTTGATTATGTCATAGTTGATGAAGACACGCTCAACTCTATTGAAAGGGGAACATGTGACCAAGCAGCCTTGGAGGAGTGGAAGAATGAAAGAAAATATAGACTAACTGCTTCTAATTTCAAGACCATTTGTAAGAGACAAAGGAATCATATTATACTTGTGAATAACTTACTAAACCCTTAAAGCAGGTCTCATCCAAGTATACTGAACATGGCAAGAAGTATGAGTCAGTGGCTTTGCAGCGTTATGAAAAGTGTATGTTCTCAACCTGAAGAAAACTTGTAGTACTTCAATCAGGATTGGTGGTTTACAGAGAAATTCAATTTTTGGGTGTATCTCCTGATGCAAAGGTGATAGACAAAAGCTGCATAAAGCCTTTTGCTATTGCAGAAGTGAAATGCCCCTCACAAAGTTCCACGTGACCCCACTTGATGCATGTACAGATCAAGGATTTTGAGCAGAGAGAGTGGATGACATGCCAAAACTTAAAAGAGATCACCCATATTAT